TAGAGACTGGTTAAGATAAATAGATAGAGAAGGTGGAAATTATATGGCAAGAGAAGAGTATGTACATCTGAAGAACTTCTGTGATTAATAAATTGGCTTCACTTCAATAAATAAGTTTTGTTTGCATTCACAAGTGTCTGATCAAACTTCATTATTTTATGGAGTGAGGTAATCCACAGGTGGCACTGAAAGGAAAACACAACTGGAGCCTTTGTGATGGCACAGAACGTAGGTGCCTCAAGGAGGTGAATGTCACAGTGGGTTCAGAGGAATTCTGATATCTTGGCTCCTGAGGGAGCTGAATTTAAGCTGAACTGCTCAATTCCACAATGGCATTTTAATGGTTTTTATGGTTTAGGCAAACTGTATGATGATCAGAATAGTTTTATATGGAGGGTATATGACAGGTCATGAGGACAAAATCCATGCAATGAGGACAAAATCCACGCATAGTCAAGCTGGTGAACTGGCTGACCTCTATATAGCAGTTCCTGAAATGTCAGAAATCAGCTGTGTGTTGCTGAGGATTCCAAAGCATATTTATGATTACTCTGTTAAATGCATCATTCTTGCTTTGCAGGTTTCACTACTTAATTTACTTTTCATGTACCAAATCTAGCAAGCAACGATGCACAGTAAGATGGTCTTGGCATCTGCTACACAACAGTTAAAATCCTGTCCTTTCTTTGAAGTAGGGATGTGCACCAGCACCAGAATTTGGATTAGGAATTTGGATTTAGAATTGGGAATTTCAGCCCTTTTGATTCAGAATTTGGAATTTTAAGAATTCAGATTTCCAGGTATCTGGAACTCTGTTACAGTCAATATCAATATTGTTGTTATTTTCCTTTTAAAAACACCCAAACAGCTAAAACATTTTAAAGGATTTCTCTGTGTTTCCTCACACCTCCCCAGTGATTGTACTGAACAAATAGCGTGCACACCAACAGCCAACAGTACCTAGGTATCAGTAAGTGTTTGTAACGGGCATACTGATTGAACCCTGAAGAGTGGAAATGCAAGCAGGAAATGCCAGCGGCATTGGGGAAGCAGAGGACAGGTGCATTGCAGAGTGGGCAAAATACACCAGGCAGCACTGGCAGGCAGATTAGAGCAGCAGATACTCTGCGATGGGTGGGAATCATGCTAACAGCAAGGGGCAACGCACAGTTGAATAAGTGAACACATTCTTGGATTAGCAGCTGGAAGAATGTGAGCAGAGCATGCCATTCTCTCCTAGTTCAAAGGGACTTCAGGGAAGCTCTGTAATCATACGTTGAGCTTAAAGAAAATGTTTTTCTATAGATCTAGGTTCCAGGCATGAGCATTATGGACTGACAATGTCCCTTGCCTGAGAGAACACTCTTTCACTGGGCATGCTAGTTGGTGAGCAAGACTGCAGTCCTATTGCCACTTTGGCCAGATCTCCCCAAACAGACACCTTCTCAGCCCAATGAGACAAGGGATTATATTTGGCGTGCCCTGCAAAGCACCCTGAACTACTAGGTTGACAGTATAAGCCAGACAATGCACCCCTTTCATCTTCCCAGGCTGCAGTGCTGCCACCACATTTGCCCCCTTGTCTGTGACGAACAGACCTTGCCTTTCTGCGGTTAGACTCCATTGCTGCCGCGTGTCCCTCAGAGCCTCCAGAATATTGTGAGCTGTGGGGCTGCCCTCCATCACAGCCACATTCAACGGAGTCTACTCTTATGTGTTGCCTTATGCCCAATGTCTTCATCTCTCACCAGTGGCCTGTTAGGGAGAGAGAGGCATGTTTTGCACCCTGGCTGCACTAAATGTAAAATGTACCACTTGTACGCTCATCAACAGCTGCTGTACCAGTTGCCTTACATTCAAAGAGAAATCTGGCACCATTCTGTGGCTAAGGGTTGTTTGAAATGACAATTGGTAATAGAGTACTAGTTCTGCCACAAACCTATAGAAACCAGTGTCCTCCATCGGAGAGAATATCTGGTCATCTGGCAAGGAAAAATTAGAGTTTTGCTTTCTAATCTATAGGAGTGAGACTCTATTAAAATTACTATTACAGATATTAACTGTTAAATTTAGATCTGTATATATTTGGAACTCTCTGAATATGGTATCATTTGTTGAATTCCAAATATTTCCAAATCTGTATGCACATCCCTACTTTGAATACTGCTTGAACTGGGACCAGTCCATCCCTATTGTCACTACTGAATTTTGTGTGTGTGTGTGTGTGTGTGTGTGTGTGTGTGTGTGTGTTAAGCCCATATAACACAAACATTATGTGCATGAAAATATAGTAATTCAATTGTATAGCATCTGGCAAAAAGAACCAGGTATTGCATACAAAATCATATGTACAAACAAATTACTGGCTTGTAGCCAAATCTTGTACTGTACTTTCATGCTTTGACTAATATAAACAGATATGGTTAGAATCTGTAAACTGAAAAACTCAATCAAGGGCTTAAAATTTTGGGGGCATTTTCAACATCTCCATGGCAAATCCAAAATAGAAAAAAACTCTGTGCTGCCTACTTCCCTTGTTGATACCCTAAGCACATACTTATTTTGCTTAATAATAGTT